TATATATATATTTTTTTTTTTTAGAAAACGTTATTTTCATCAAACTAGCATTAAATCACACACTATCTTGGTCAAACACATAAATAAAACATTAAATTTTCTATCTTTAAGCATTTATTTGAAGTGAGAAAATAAAATAAAATAAGTAAATATAGATGAAAGAGAAATCAAAATAGGGGTTATGTTAAAAATTTGCATAATTTTTTTTATGAAAATTAAAATAATTTGCTTTCGTGAACGTTTGTGTTGAAACATATAAAATGTAATAAAAAAAATTAACTACCGGAGTATTTTACTGCTAAAAAAATATGTTAAATTAAATAATGTGAGATATTTTTTTTTTTTCACCCCATAATAAGTGTCAGATAAGAGAAATAAAAATCTCAAAATAAATATTATTTTATTTTTAAAAAAATAATATTAATTATCTTTTTTCTTTATGCTTCTAATAATATTCTTCAAAAATTATAATTATGGTGTATCATTTCTAATGAAAAAAATTAATAATAAAATTATTTTTGTGAAAATTATATTCTCTTCTAAATTTTTATTAATTTTTCTTAGTTTGTATTCAATCTAGATCAATATTTATTATAAGAAAAAAATAATAAAAGACTTTGATGTACAGCTAAGACTATGTTACATCTGTTGTTTTACACCTATATATATTAATGTTTATTTTCTTTGAAGTATACATATATGATTTAGCATATAGACAAAAATTTGGTGTAGTTCCTAAAGAGTTAGAGAAAAGTTATGTCAATCGCTCATATGAAAGCTATTTGGATTATGATTATGATCATTACTGTGCTGGATTCTGCACAAGCCGGTAATAATCATCTATCTGTGCAAGCTGAGGACAAAGCTGACTTTTGCACAATTAAATGTAATATTGTATGTGCCTTTGAATGTTCACCTATAGAAATAATCCCTCCTTTGTATAAAAAATGTCTTGGTGTTTGTTTTCCAAAGTGTTATAAAAAGTGCAAGGGTGTTGTTTAACATTGACATCAATAATGAAAAAAAAAATCTCTTCAAAATTGAGTTAATTATGTTTTTATATGTTTTTGCTAATAAACTTCATTTGTCAGATGTTTGTGATGTAGTTGTGGATTCTTCTTGCAAAAGTCTTAAAATAAGTAAATAATAATCAGTTATAAAAATGTTTAAGAAAAAGTTGTTATAGGAAATATATTCATATATAATCTATTAATATAAAGGGTGGAAGTTCTACAACAACTTTCTTCTCCAAAAGTTTCAACCCTCTTCTCTCCTACACTCTCT